CTGTAGACTTTTCTGGCTTTCAAAATACATGGCAGGCTGAATTAAAAGGATGCTCCTTCTAGTTCTATAATTCTATGGATTTTTTGGCATTGTTGTCATTTTTCACCTAAGGGACGAACGGATATCTAGGAATTCACTCTGGATCAGAAAAATGACACCATCAACTCCACCAATGTGAGACTACCCCGTCCCTTCTTTTCTTCTACAATTTCCTTTACTGACAGACACTTACCATTAAAGAGCTGGAAAAGATATTGTTCGCTTTCTTGTGTTAATTTCTTAGTAGCTTGTTCTATTTGGTAAAACTCATCCAGCATATTGAAGGCATCAATCATGCGCACGGTTTCATTGGTCAGCAGGGCATCATTGTATTTCCGCAGATGCAGGGCACAAACTCGGGTTTTTTGGCAACATTCTTTTGCTCCTTAACACCACAAAGACAGCAAATGTCATGATAATGGTCTGTCACATGATCTTTCCATTAATCTGACTCACAAATATGAGTCAGTTGCTAAGCACCTAAATTTTGATCCCATGTCCATGGGGATGCTGCAATGGTCATGTGAAAACTGGTCAGAAGTCACTCTTTTCAGTGCCATTGTAACTTTGCACAGTCACTAAATGAACTGTTGTAAGTTGAGGACAGCCTGAATTACCTCTGTGATGCAGTGGTTAGAGTGCAGTACTGCAAGCTACTTCTGCAGCCAGCTGCCTACAATTTGGCAGTTCAAATCCCACCAGGCTCAAGGTTGACTCAGCCTTCCATCCTTCCAAGATGGGTAAAATGAGGACCCAAAATTGTTGGGGGCAATAGGTTGACTCTGTAAACGGCTTAGAGAGGGCTGTAAAGCACTGTGAAAGGGTATATAACTCTAACTGCTATTGCTATTACAAAGCCTCCTATGGGATACTCACCTTTCATTTCAAGCTCCACAACTTGCTGCTCAAAGTACTTGGTACCAAAGTTCGTAGTAATGTCAGATACATTTAGGTAAGTATAAATCTGGGTCATTATCTCCCGGAGCTTTTCTCCAAATGGGTCCTGGAGATGATAAAACGAGAAAGGTGGAGTGGGAGGAAATGTTAACCTTCTCATCTACACTGCCCATTCATTTTTTTTCAAAAGTTCCTTAAGAGATTCCTGGTGATCTTACCTGCAACCTTGGTTCTGCCAGATCGTACTGTTTCTTGGGACATGGAACATGACAATCAAGAGACGAATTCTGTTTATTGATTGACATAATTCTTTCAGCATCCAGGTTAGCACAGATCTGGAAAGAATTAGCACAGCTGTGTGACTACTTCAGGAAATAGGGGGTAAACCAACTGGTCTCAAAGGCAAGTTGGAGTGCCTTTAAGTGATGCGGTGGTAGAAAGAGATGAAAACAAATTTGCCTGTTTATTTATACATGCCATGAATTATGGGCTGCCCAGTTCACAAGGATTTGGAGTCAATTATAATAATAATCCTTATCAATAAAAATAACAGCTATCCCATTCAATTTGAATTATCATATTATTTATATTTATATATTATATAATTATAATTATTATAATTATTAGAGAGCCTTGGTGGCGCAGTGGTTAGAGTGCAGTACTGCAAGCTACCTTCTGCTGCAGCCAGCTGCCTGCAATTTGGCAGTTCAAATTTCACCAGGCTCAAGGTTGACTCAGCCTTCCATCCTTCTGAGGTGGGTAAAATGAGGACCCAAAATTGCTGGGGGCAATATGTTGGGGGTAAACCGCTTAGAGTGGGCTGTAAAGCACTATAAAGCTGTATATAAGTTTAAGTACTATTGCTATTGCTATCTAATTAAACAGCCCAAGTACCATCAGCGACAAAATGCTCAGGAGCTTCTTGAAGCCAAGACGTTGGAGGCATGCCTTACTTTGGAGCCAGTGAGGAAGTATTGTCCTGGGTCCTTATTTTCTTTTGTAGTTTGCACAGAAAGGAGCAAGTCTCAGTAGGAGTGAAGGTCCTATGGGTATTGGGTGTCAACTCATGCAAGGCTTTAAAAGCCGCCTGCTGCTTGCACAGATAATCAGCTCACCTGTGCTGCGTGGGCTGTGGCTGCTGCTAGACACAGTCGCCCCAGGTGTGCTCACCACCTCTTATGCTGGCCATGCCCACCCCTCTTCACTAGAGCTTATTTTTGGGTTACACGTAAAAGGTGCACACATAAAAAACAGGCTAGGTCTTATTTTTTGGATAGGTCTTCTTTTCCGGGAAACATGGTATATGCTCTTTGAAAATTCTATTATCGGTATGAAAGAGAACTGTGTTTGCAATGCAGAGCAAACTCCAAACTTATGACTATGCGAGGGAAAAGAGAGGAACCCATAATGCCACCAAACTACCAATACTTGAGCTAAGTGTCTTCCATCAGACTCACCTCCAGGATGTGGGCCTTAGCTGCTTCCAGGGTGTTTGAACTTCCAGTACCTAGAGAGGCTGTGAGTCCCAAAATCTGAGGTAAACCCTGTTGGCCTTTCAACTTGCGGTCCAGGTAGTCCTCCATAATCTTGTTATAAACAGTTCCTTTGTGAGTGTGGTGACACTCATCAATCACCAATAGAGAGAAATCTGCACAACATATAGAAAGGGATAAACAGCTTTTACCCTAATTATAGTGCATTCTTCTTTTAATGGACTGCTTGTGGGAAGAGAATGTCCTTATTCAGGAATATTTGCTGAATTGGAGAGTATAGGTAGTCCTTGACATACAACAATTAATTTAGTGACGTTCAAAAACCTCCCGAAAGAGTGTTAGAGTGGGGGCCATTGTAATCTCTGGGGCAATGATATTCCAGAGAGACGGAGCCACCATGGAGAAGGCCCTTCTTCTGGGTCCCATCAGGTGTATCTCCCTCAGGGATGGGACCCGCAACATTCCCTGCCTCCTCACTCTAATGGGTTGGGTCAATGTCACTGGCAAGAGATGTTTCCTCAGATAACCTGGATCCAAGCCATGAAGGGCTTTAAAAGTGACAACCAGCACCTTGAATTGCACCCAAATAAAAATAAAAAATACCCAAAATATGTCAATATGTCCTCCATTCATTGTAGCAAGGCCTTTGGATGTGTCAATCATGTCACTCTATGAACAGGGCTTAGAAAAACGGAAATCCCAGAACAAACTGCTCAGAGAGTTCTGTAAAGCATTTCGGAGCAGTATATAAGTCTAAGTGCTATTGCTAACTCTTTGCGCTTATGTGAAACCTGTACATAGGATAGAAAGCCACAATCCTTCTGGTACCTGAAGAAAAGATTGGCAGGTCAGCAAGAAGTGGGAAAAGGCTTTATAATCTTTCCTATTTATTGAAACTGCGTGCTGAATATGCATTGAGGAAAAGCTGGATTGAAGAGCATGCCTTTAAAATGGGATGGAAACAACAACTTGTGCTTATACTGTACTCAACACAGTTTAATAGATGAAAATGGAAATAGTCTGGAAGCTTTAGTCATGAAAGACAAGGAGCACAGTGAAAAAAGCTGGGACTAAAACACAAAGACCAAATTAATGATAACTCTAACAGCAACTAGCCTTGTAATTGATACTGGAGAAGGAGATAGCGCCTGCCTTTCAGGACTGATTATCAGCAGTAAAGCACCCACAGTCGGGAAATAAAGCATAGACTAGTACTTGGTAGGATAACAGTGAAAGCCTTGGGGAAAAAACCTGTCAAATGCTATATTGTGTCTATATCGGGGGTCCCCAACCTGTGAACTGCAGCCCACTACCAGGCTGTGGCCTGTTCACCACCCCTCGACTTGCGCTATCGTGGGGAAATAGTCATATTATGTTCTTTGTGCCTTTGAGTTAGTTTAACCCTTGGTGACTGCCTAAAAAAGTCCCTGCATTTTTCTTGGCAACATTTTCTGAAGTGGTTTCTTATAGCAGGGGTCTTCAAACTTGACAGCTTTAAGACTTGTGGACTTCAACTCCCAGATTTCCTCCTCCAGTCATGTTAGCTCAGGAATTCTGGGAGTTGAAGTCCACAAGTCTTAAACTTGCCAAGTTTGAAGACCCTTGTCCTATAGCCTTCTTTCTAGGGCTAAGAGAAAGTAACAGGCCCAAAGTAACCCAGCTGGCTTCCTAGCTAAATCAGAATTAGAATTTAGGGGTCCCCAACCCCCGGTCTGTGGACTAGTACCAGACCACGGCATGCCAGGAACTGGGCCGGGTAAACAAGAGAAGCCTCAACCATGGGATGCAGGCAGCATGCAAAACCACACCCCCTCTGATCTGTGGGAAAAAAAACGGTCCCTGGTGCCCAAAAGGTTTGGGGCCGCTGTATTAGTTTCTTCACATTTAGGATTCTACAACATTGGGAGGACTGTTCAAGAGGCAGAATATCTCTACTGCAAGTGGATTGCAAAACCTATTTTGTGGCTGTCAGGATCCCCCTTGGTTGGAGCTCCAGTTAAAACCTGTTCTTGGTTTCGTTTTTTAGCAAAAACGAAGGTCCATGGAGCTGTCACTCAGCATAACAGAGCTTTGCAATCATGTGGTGTAACTTTTTAGTTATATAGCACTAACTCTAAAAAGCTACTTGGCAACTGGATTTAGAGAAGAGTGGACATACAATGTAACATAGAAGAGGAAATGGAGAGGTTCTGTTCCCAATTATTCTTGATCAAACTTGGCTAACCATTGAAAGGAATCCCTTTACATTTACTTCATTATCCATTTTACTTCCAAGAAAAATTAGGTCAGTTTCTGGTTACAGAGTTCTCAGTGAGGAATCCAACCTGAAATATGGCTAAATTGAAATGTAATTTGTGTTTCATTCTTTGCTAGGCTCTCAAAAAAATGTAATTTTCAAATATGATTCACCTCCTTTTCTTTGATAGGACTTCGATAGTGAATAAATTATCCCAAGATTGTGGAAGATTCCACAAAGGCTTTCCCTATTCTCAGAAGGAAGATCTGCTAATTTCTGGGTGTTCCAAGTTGCTCTATTGGTGATCATAGGGCGATGTTCAAAAGGTGACAATGGAGACAATACAAAACAATCACTTCATAAACATATGGCACTACATAGGAGAAGAAACCCATCAGGACTAGATTCAGCAGTCCATCTGCATTTAAAAGACAAAGGTCTCTCTTTTGAAGACAGCAAAGTCCACATTTTGGACAGAAAGGACCTCTGGCTTGAAAGAGGAGACAAAAAGGCCATCTATGTCAAAACTGAACAGTCCTCTCTCAGTGACATCATCTATCTCTAAATCTACAACACAGTCCTTTTAACAGTCCCAAGAAGGCTCCATGCCCATTTTCACTATTCAGATAAACCTCCAGGTGACCTTAACAACTCAAAGAATGCAAATGACCAGCTGTCTGCAAGGAGTATAAATCTTTCCATTCCCCACCATCCAGTCAGAGCTGAAGAAGCTTCTTGTATGAGAAGCGAAACGTCTTCAAAGAAAAACCGAAAAGTACAATTGCCTCTTGCAAAAGCATCTTTGGGACAATAGAGACAAACAGTGAGCTTGAATGGGAGATTCACAGCTAAAACTGGATTATTACTGTATGCTGCTGCTCCCTGTTCGTGAAGAGACTGACTGTTCCAGTAATGTTCTACTGTGAATCTGCTATAACCTGCTTTAGACAAAGAAACCAAAAACCATGACAATGGTTTTACTCCTTCTCCAGAACACTTTTTTCTATAGGCTCTAATAAATAGATTTTATGTATAGAGAGTCCTCAATCAACAACATTCACTTAGTGTCTGTTCAAAGTTACAACGGCACTGAAAAAAGTGACTTATGACCGTTTTTCACACTTAAGACCGTTGCAGCATCTCTGTGATCATATGATCAAAATTAGGATTCTTGGCAACAGGTTCATATTTATGATGGTTGCGGTATCCTGGGGTCGTATGATTTTCTCTTTGCAAGCAAAGTCAACTGGAAAGCCAGATTCATCGAACAACCATGTTATTAATTTAACAACTGCAGTGATTCACTTAACAACGGTGGCAAGAAAGGTCGTAAAATTAACTTGACAGCTGTCTTGCTTAGCAATGGAAATCCTGGGCTCAACTATGGTCATAAGTTGAGGGCCACCTGTATTCCAAGAAATAAAGTGATCTGGCTGAGGAACAGGAATCCGAGGCAGCTCCTTATAACTTGATTGCTATCTGCAGTCCAGAAGCAAAAGACTTACATATGCCCTAGGAACCATAAATTTCATGTCTCTAGAGTAGATAGGTCTTAAAAATGATTCAATAGAATGCTGAGTATAGGTTGTGTGAGCTTGTATTTACTATATTTTTCAGAGTATAAGACTCTCTGAAGTATAAGACGCACCTAGTTTTGGGGGAGGAAAACAAGAGAAAAAAAAATTGCCTCCCAGCAATTTGCCTCCTTGCAGCAAACAGCAAACAGCCTGTTTCAGCTTTAGCACAACCTGATTAGCTTAAGCAGCTCGTTGTCAGTTGGATCAGTCTCCCAATGATCAGCTGTTTCAGGCTACAGGGATTGCCATAGCCTATTGCCGCCTCCACGTGCCCCATTTTTGGCCTCTGTATTCCGTTTTCAGCCTCCTTGTGCCCTATTTTCGGCCTCTGTGTGCCCCATTTTTGGCCCATTCCAGGTGGCAGGG